ATTTTCAGAATATATTAGTACTGTAGAATTCTCAAAGTTACATATAAATAATTATATAAATTAGATATATAAATTTCAAATTTAATAATTTTTTTCTTAGCCATCAAAAAATTTAAAAAATTTCTACAGTATATAATTCCACTATATTATACAGATAAATATTTTCTTTTCATTTATCAGTTATTCTTATCATTTATATTTTGTCGGTTATTTCTCGGGGGTGTGAATCTTTAAAATTTTTATAATTTTTTAAAATCTCAATCTCAAACATCTATTGAATCTTTTACTTCTTTATAAAGCTATTAATTTTTGATTCTAAAAATGAATGAGGATTACCAATATACTAAAAAGTAAAGAACACTGGTTTAATTTTGTGCCTTATTTAATATTGTAAAGCTATGATATCCTTATTTAATTATAGACCAAAAGCTAAACGCCTATCTTTTTGAAAGTTGGCATCTGAATCTACATTTAATAGTTAAACTACCAACTAATACAAAAACACCAGAGTATTTCAAGATTCAGTAGAAGTATTTTCTTATTAGTTACCGTAATTTTCGGCAAATATTACCCCAAAATACCCACCCACCGTCAATTGAGCGTCTATTTAGTCAAATTATATAGTCAATTGACGGTCCCGGGACTAATCAATTTTTAAGGCCTAGGAATGTAAGAGACCCGGGGTACTATTTGCCGGAAATTACGGTATTAGGAAACCTGAAGGTTTTGCATTGGCATAAGTCGAAACTTAGTTTAACTATTACCAAAAAAAAATTTGAAAAAACGAGGTGAAACAGAAATTTATGAAAGGTGGTAAAAACTGGTTCAGTAAATGAAGTGAGCAGTAGTAAAACTTTCAAGGACACTAAATGAAATAAATTCGAGATTTCTTTAAAAGTTTTAATTATTTTATTTTTATTTTCAGTATACTACTTTAAAATACAAGTATTTATAAGATACGTGGCAAATTTCAGCCAATTATTTATTCTGATAGAATAATTTTCATGATATTTATCATCGCATGATCCAATATCAATGTTATCGTGCAATTATGATCATGCTTTACAAGTCATTATTAGTAACTGAATTTCAATTCGAGATTGTTGTGCCTATGTAATAACGTACAAAGAACAACAAGAAAAAAAAATCTATGATAATAGTTTGCACGATTACGTAAACATATTAAATAAAAATTCTCGATACCAAAGGTAAAAAAAAATAAAGTGATTGCCTTGTAATTTTTATTTTTTATTAATCACACTTAAAAGTTTAAATAAACAACTTTACATTTGTGGAGTTTAAATCTCTTAATTTCATTAAGTTTTCAAATTGGGAGGAAGGTGGACAATATATTATAAGACCTTTCTGGTGGATTTTAGGTGTTACTTTTTTATTCAAAGAGTATCCTCAATCTTACTACATGTTTTTATAGAATTACCATTGGAAATGGACTTGACTAGCTTTATAAATACATCTGATTTAGGTTTATATATCTTGCAGATACTAAGAGGTTGGCATTAAATTGTAAAATTTTCATTGTCATTAAATGTTTCGAACTATTGAAAGTGACATACTTTATTTCATTCGTAAAACTTTCACATCCTTGTCTGATACATACTAAGTTGACTAACATTTAATGTTAGCCTTAAAAAGTGTTTAATGCTAAGAAATTTAATTGTTTGCTGTCAACATTACAGAAATTAACAGCTTTTTATGCTTATGTAGATTTGAATATTTAGGTGAATTATATTGGATCGAATTTTAATTACGGATGCATGTGTTGTTTATATAGACATTGCCTTATACATAATACATTTATTATGAATATTTAATATGTGATTAGTATCCTGACAAAAGTTTTAAATTGGTCTATGCAAACATACTCAACTTAGTTTAAATAAAACGTGTATCAAGAATGAAAATGTTTAACATTCCATACCCTACATTTGCCAATAGTAAAATAAAATATCTTAAAATCTAATATGCGAACATTACTGATAAAGGAATTAGAGAATCAAAAGGTTAATATCTTTCTATATACTGTACGTATAACTTTCTTGTAATCGATTATGAAATTTATTCATATATCAAATGAATTATTTTTATGTAGGGTTACCATATTATCTTGAATTTCGATTTCATTCATGTCCGTGACATGTTGTATTATTAAGAAAGATCAAACTTATAAATCACTTACGCAAGAATTTTATAACGTGAAATTTTAAATAATATTTTGTTATTAGATATTCCATCATTTCGGCCAGTTTAACTTAATTGAATCACCAAAAAAGTTTGTAAAATTTATGAAAATACACGAAGTACTACTTTTGCAATTACTGATGCAATCCATTACTTGTAGCAGAAATCTGATATAATTTTTTTTTAGGACATCCTCTGCCATTATCAATAAAATTCTGTAAGTTAATTATCCCATTATATAAATTTTTATGTGCAATCATTAAATTCTAATAATAACAAATCAAGTTTATAGAAAAATTATAAATTAATATGAATCGAATCGACTATACGACTTACGTAATTAATTGGGGTTTTGTTACACTAAAATACAAATATGCGTGCGGACAATTTCCAAATTTGCGTTGTTGATGTGCAATACTAAGTCAACTAATGAATAATCAAAAACGTAACTATTAATGTAACTTTTGTATCACTTTGACTAAACATTTAATATCCTCCGTTACGCTCCGGACAGCCATTCTATTTAATACATAAAAATATTTTGCCTTTTTTAAAAAAATGGACTCTAAACAACTTCGCAATCTTGGTTACAATTATCAACATGGTATTGGCGTTAAAAAAGATGAAAAGAAGGCTTTTGAATATTATATGAAAGCAGCTGAATTAGGAAATTCAGATGCAATGCAAGATGTTGGCCTTTGTTATAAATATGGAATTGGAGTAGGAACAAATTACCAGAAAGCGTTTGAATATTTTAAGAGGTCTGCCAATTTGGATAATTCTTATGCAATGTGCAGTGTTGGAGGTTTTTACGAAAGTGGAGTCGAAGTTAATCAAGATTATAATAAAGCATTTGAGTACTATAAAAAGTCTGCCAATAAAGGTATTAATATGTCAATGTATCATGTTGCACGACTTTATCGAAATGGTATGGGTGTAAAGAGAGATATTCAAGAGGCAAATTATTGGTTCACAAAATATAGAAGTCTTTTGAAAACTAATAAATCACCAGATCATATTAATCCCGAACTTAAGAGAATATTAGACGATGAGAGATTTAAATTATCTTGGATTAATTATAATGAATTCAGGGATATCAAAGAAAAGGGGAAAGGAGGATTCGCAACTGTATATAGTGGATCTTTTTTTGATAAAATTAATAATATGTGGAATCCTATTGCACTTAAAGTGATTCGTGGTTCAAACGAAAATGAGCAAGAATTTATCCACGAATTGAAGAATTATTGTGAAATTGGTTACAAGAATCCTTCATTTTTGAACTGTTATGGAGTGTCAAGGAATGGCCATGGAGATTATATTATTGTTATGCAGATTGCACCAAAAGGTTCATTACGACAAAATATTATAAAAGTATCACAATTAGAATGGAAAGATAAATTGAATATTTTGTACGGTATAGCTTTGGATCTTGAGTCGATTCATTCACAGGAACTCGTTCACAGAGATTTACACAGTGGAAATATTTTGCAAACTTATGCATTGCATGACGCATATATCACAGATCTTGGGCTTTCTAGAAAAGCAAAGGAGGGAAAAATTTGTGGAATTCTGCCGTATATATCACCTGAGGTTTTGGTGGGTCAACCGTATACCCAAACATCGGATATTTATAGTTTTGGAGTTATCGCGACAGAGATTTCAACTGGACAAAGACCATTTGATGGAATCCCATTTAATGATGAACTTGTATTAAGAATTATCAGTGGATCAAGACCTAAATGTTTAGGACCAGATTGTTATGTTAAATTAGCTACGAAATGTATGGATAAAGATAATGCTAAACGACCTACTGCAAAAGAAATTATTGAAATAATCACTTGTTGGTTAGATGAAATTGATCAGGTAGATGATAATGAAGTAAAAAAAAAATTTGTGGAAGCCAATAAAATTAAACCAGAACATATTAAGCAATTACATTCACAAGACATCTATACTAGCAAATTATATGATACGAATAAATTTTCAGAATATATTAGTACTGTAGAATTCTCAAAGTTGCATTTAAATTAATTTTATAATATAAAATTTTATATTATATTTATGTAAATGCACTTATGAGGGTGCAACAATAGTAATTTTTTCTTATTTATAAAAACGGTTTGCAGATCTAATTCCACGATATATGTAGATAAATATTTTCTTTTCATTTATTCTTATCATTTTATGATTTGTTTGTTTGTTTCTTGGATGTAAAAAATCTTTAAAATCAATTTATCTTTCTTTTAAATCTTATATTTACATTTAACTTTTATAAAATATTAATTTTTGATATGTCAAAAACTTAACAAAGCAAAGACCGCCGTTTTAACTTTGTATCTAAATTAATTTGGAAAGTTATTATATCTACGGATTTAATTATAGACCAAAAGCCAAATGCCCATCTTTTTTGAAAATTAGCATCCGAATTTACATTTAATAGTTAAAACCATACTAATTAATGCTGAAGCACCAGAGTATTTCAAGGATCGGTAGTAGTTATTAGTTTGGCTTTTGCTAAAAAAAAAATTGAAAAGGCAAAATACAAAATCTGCAATAAGAAAAAATTGATTAAAGGTGGTAAAAACTGGTTCAGCAAAATGAAGGGACACTTTAAGAACAGTTAACCCAGTGATCGACAATCATTTGATAAACATATCATGACGTCATTTGTTTACCAGAATTAAATAAACTGGCCTAAACTATATCCTAAACTAACCCTAAACTAACCCTAACTTAGGCCGAAGATGATCATGTGATATTGTGATGATCACTGGGTTAACTCTTCTTAAATCTTCCCCAAAATGAATGTGAGGGCGTAAAGCTTATAAAAGTCACAGAAATAAATAAATTCGATTTACTATCTCAAACATATTGATGCTATCAGATGTCTAATTCGAAATTCACCTAGCTTTCTTTAAGGGGTTTAATTATTTTATCTTTATTTTCAGTATATTACTTTAGAAACTATGCATTTATGCAAAGTTTTAAACTTTGAAGACTTAAGGATATTAGATCTATCAAAGACAAAGGTGACCAAGGATTGTCTACGTATTTTGTTCGTAAACTGTGCCATTGTAATTGATTCAGGAGATTTAAGCTATTATACTGTCCTGGAGTTGTGTAGATTGTCTTTGCGGACCTGTAACGTAAATATATTAATGCATTTTTACTATGTTATCACTCCACTTGTACCTTATAACTAGGAAAATGGAAACCATTCAAAGTCCGAAGGACCAAAAATTTATTACATCAATAATGTAGTATACTTACATGATTAACAAACTAATTATATTCTAATTAGATTTCAAGATTTGTATATGTTAAAATAATAAAACATATTATTAAAGTAGTATAAAAGTTTAACAGAACATAAGTTAAGAGAACAATGGGTATTCTGGAGAACTTAAGAGTTGCATATATAAAATTTTTAGGAAAAGCGTGCTTATTTTACAAAATTTAGCAAGTCAGATTAAAAAAAAAAACTTCGAAATTTAAACTTTTAAAATCTATTAAAAAATGCTGTTTTTTCAGGCTGGGGGTATTATGGCGCACTATGTATTTTGTATTGTATTACGTACTGCATCCTCCTCCAGGTCCGAATGAGAATAAAATTAAAAGAAAATTGAACACGTGAATAATACGTGACCATAATATTTGTACTGTAGAATCGAGCGGTACTAATATAATTTGATCCTGAGTGCTGCTTAAAGGGATATAGGTGAGAAACTTAAGTGTGCCACAATACCCCTGCGCCAGAATAACCATCGCTCCCTTATATTATACTAAAATTTTTATATGCCTGATTTGTACAAATATTAATGGCACTTATGCACGAACTGCAGGAAACCACATACGGACGTACGTACGTAAGTACTGTACATGCAAGACGTCAAAATTTTGCACTTAAAGCCATATAAGGTTAATTAATTGTTTCACAACTTATAGTTCCGGCTTGCTAGGTTATGAAAAACAACCTATTAACTTTATATGACATAATCCGAAGTGTTCTAAATTTTTGACTCTAAACATTCAAACATCGTAATTTAATCAAATTTCTGAATTTATCAACATCACTGATATGCACATTTTATATCACTCATCATTCACAACCCTGATGAAGCACAGAATCAATAATTTATAAAAAAAATGTTATTGATACCTGCAATAACCTCTGATAAAGGGATACAATTGACTGACAATCGATTTTTTTATTTATTTATTTATTTTTTTTTTTTTGCATCTTAAACACTGAAATCATACTTTATACTGAGTGCTCAATAAACCATAAACAAAAAGTTAGTAAAATCGATTCAATTTAAAAATAAAAATAAAAACTTACTCCATTCGTTATTCATTTCAACTATCGATCGAATGTTTGTTGCACAATCACGACTGAAAGATGTCAACTCATGCGCTTACCTCGTTATGATAAAATTATAAGAATTCAATAAAGTTTAGGGAACGAGTACATTGTCATTTATCATTGCATTTTATATCAGTATTTCCAAAGAGATTAAAATTTACGCATTAATATAAGTCCCATACATTTTTCGCGCGAAAATTTAAAATGAGCCAATCACGACCGCTCTTACCTAATGTACATTCAAATCAAATGAATAACAATAGTGAGTATCTTAATAGCAGACGTGAAAAAGATAAGCAAAGAAAGCGTGAAAAACGCGCCCTAGAATCAGATGAACAGAAAGACAAAAGAAATCAACAGAATGCGCCTCAGAAACTGCAGAAGAACACCTTAGTCGATGCCAAAAAAGTTCCACTCAAAAAAAACAGAAAAGGTTAGTGCGGTGCAATCAGACCGAATCCATCGACATAGGACAACTTTCTGCGGCTGACCGAAAGCTTCTAGATAACTTTCGAAATAAAATGGAAAAGCTTTGTAACAATCTCTGTGGCGTATGTAATGAGCGATTTCCGTTTATTGAAATTTTTCAAGGAGAATGTAGGCGTTGTAATCGAGATAAGAATACACTAAAAAAGTTTTCTGCGGATAACAACATGGACCCGGGTAAATAAATAAAATCATTATAGTTTTTTAAAGATACAGTGAAATCTCTCTAAGTGCACATCCAAACTCTAGTCCAAAAATATAGTCACTTTTTCTTGTTATTCGTTAAGGTGGGTATGCACTTAGGAGTTTCACTGTATTGTAATTTTATATATTATCTTGTTTTTGTTTATTTTTATTTTTTTATTATTTTTTTTTAATTATTTTTTTATTTTGATTTTTTTAGGCGAGGTACCTCAGGAGCTTAAAGACCTTACCGAAATTGAAGAAATGCTTATCGCTCAAGTATTCACAGTTATATTGGTTTATAACCTTCGTGGAGGCCAATATGCATATCGCGGGAATGTTATCAACTTTCCACAAGATATTCGAGAATTCACGACTTGTCTTCCACGTTCACCATCTTCATTGGATATGCTAGTCATATGACGGCATTCTGGCGATAGATCAACCTTTAGAGATTTCATTGTACACAGAGAAAAAGTTACCCGAGCTCTCAATTGGTTAAAAACAAACAACATCTTTTATCGTGATATTGAGATTGCCGAAGATATATTACAGTCCTTACCTGAAAATGGCTTAATAATTGACCAGCTTCCACAAATCTCCGACAATCAATTTATTCACAAAAACAATGAATATTTAAATGTTATTGAAAGTAACGATGATAATGAAGATGGTGAAAGTGATGATTTGATTTCACGAACCTTTGTCCCTGCACTACCTTCCGGAAATAATGAGGATGATGCCATTCATAATACTCTAAATCGTCTACAAAATGATAATCCACGTGGCGATAATTTGTCAATTGACTGGCCCAATATTGATAGCACACCTATTGACGAATTTCACATAGTAGGATATATGGCTCATGCATTTCCTACACTTTTCCCTCGAGGTGCTGCTGATTTACACGCCCAATGGGTAAAAGAAGTAAAACCAGCTGAATATTTTCAATATCTTCTTAAGTATAAAGACGGCCGATTTGCTCGTCATCCACGTTGGCGTTATTTTGCATTAAATTCCTTAATGCGATGGAGGGCGTTGGCAGAAGGGCGCATCTACGTCAAGCAGAACTTAGAGCCGGAACAACTCACTGTAGCTGAAGTTCAGGAATTGTTGCAAAGTGATACTCATATGGCAGATAGAGTGGTGAGGTTTGGGGAGGGACTGCGCGGTACTCGTCAGTATTGGATGTGATGTCGTGCTGAATTAACAAACATAATAAAGCAGTTAGGTTCGAATGGAATGATATTTTTTACCTTCAGTGCGGCAGACATGCATTGGCCTGAACTTTATGACTTAATGCCACATGGAGAAAATGTCACTGAAGAATCTATTCAGGAAGCTGCTAGGTGCCGACACCAAGATCTCATTGACAATCCCCATATTGCAGCATGGTTTTTTGAAAAGGGGTTTAAGGTTTTTTTTGAAAAAGTATTAATACCAAAATGGGGGTTAGTGGATTGGTGGTATCGTTTTGAATGGCAGCACTGTGGAAGTGTTCATGTTCACGGCATGCAATTCAAAAAGAGGCACCTTCATTTCAATGGGAAAGTGCAAAAGCAAATCCAGAACAAATGGACGAAATAGTATGTTATCTGGATTCGTTAGTCACAACTGTAAACCCAGGACTAAATGTACAGGTCCCCGAACGACACCCATGTTAGAAACGTCCTGAAGAAATTGATGACGTGTTACAAGACTATATAGATCTTATAAACAAATTACAAAGGCACACTCGTTGTAGTGCGTCATACTGTTTAAAAGTTAATAAACAGACGAATCAACAATCTTGTAGGTTTGGTTTTCCAAAGGAATTGAGAGATCAAACTCTTGTACAATTTGATAAGCATGGTCGCCCAGAATTAATTACTGCCAGGAATGACCCTCTTATCAATTCGCATAATTGACTTCAACTTCAGGGGTGGAGAGCAAATGTGGACTTTAAACCTATACTTACAACTTATGCTGCTTTGCAATATATATCTAAATATGCAAGCAAAGCCAAGCCACGATCTCAGGCATTCTCTGAAATTTTAGACAAAGCTCTTAGTAGTAGTAACCCTGATAATAAGTCAATTATAGCATTCCAAAAACTACTTCTTCATACTATATCGGAGCGTGACTATTCAGCTCAGAAAACGTGCTATCTCCTTTTCGGAATTCCTCTCTACCACAGTAGTCACAATTTTGTTACATTAAACCTCAATAAAGAGGCACCACGATGGCTCCGTAGTAGTGGAGAAGAATATGATTATGATGAATATAGTCATGAAGTAAACAGCACCGGAAAAACAGGACTTTCACCTTTGCAATTGTACTGGGATCGACCGAATGATCTAAAAGATCTTTCACTTTTCCGACTATACCTGCATTACAAATTTGTCAAAGGGAAATGGGTTAAGTGTAACAAAGACAATGTTGTACATATATGGGCCCAGCCCTCCCCTTTGCGAAATGGACCACAATGGCAAGACTTCTGTCGTACAAAAGTTCTCCTCCATGTCTGCCACCAAAACATCCGCCAGCTCACTAATAGCAATACCCTCTCATGGGAAGAATTATATGATCATAATTTGTCCAAAATCAATACAGCCCCAATGATCTAATTGGCTTTGAAGTAAACAGTCTTGAAGAAGAAGATAGCACCGATAGTAGCAGTGATAATGATAATATGCAAAATCTGAAAGAGGAAGAGAGAATTCGACCTAGCTGGATGTCTTTGGCAGAGACAGGTCCCAATGCACAAATACATATTTCTTTTGAATTTGGTTGCCGTGATATTGACATAAACTATGATTGGATTGGTGAAAGCAAACGGCGGTACCCTGATCTTGAAAATGCTGATAACTTTATTCAGCTAGCATGTGGTGAAAGTTTGCTGCCAGACATTGAAAGCCTCGAAACAATCGATCCTGAGACACAAATTATAAACAAAGAGCGGTATTTGCTCAGATAGAATCTCATTATGACATGATAATCTCAGGTCAAGAGGTAGATCCGTTACGAATTATAGTCATGGGTACTGCAGGAACTGGAAAGTTTTATTTAATTAAGGCAGTCAAAAATTGTCTCTATAAAAAAGCAAGAGAAAATGGCCTACTTGAAGATGATTCACCAATATTATTAGTGCTTGCACCAAAAGGTGTTGCAGCATTTAATATCTAAGGCAGTACCATCAACTCTATTCTTTCTATCCCTATTGGTACAAAAAATTTTGACTTAGTGGGTGAAAAGCTAAAACGGCTTCAAAATAAGTTACGAAACATGATATATATCATTGTCGATGAAATGAGCATGGTGGGGCATCGCATCCTTGCTTTAATTGACTTGCGACTTCATCAGGCCTTCCGAATTATCGTAATATTCCCTTCGGGGTCGTTCAATGATTTTTGTAGGTGACTTCGGACAACTTCCTCCAGTGTGCGATCTTCCAATATATGTAAAGACACATTCTTCTAATCTCATATCTGAAGATGGACGTACAGTTTATAGTTAATTCCAGGAAGTTTATAAGCTTGACATTGTACAACGTCAAGCTGGTGAATCAGTAGCACAATGTCAATTTCGAGACCTCTTATTACGCCTACGCAATGGTAAATCTATTCAGTTGGATTGGGAAACAATAATGACTCGACTTCCAGAACATTTACCTGCATCAGAACGAGATGGCTTTTCAAATGCCACCTGTATATTATCGAAATGGATAGACATTGATAGTGTCAATATCAACAAGCTTCGCATGTTAAATCGTCCAGTTGTCAAGATTTGTGCTGTTCATACACTTGGTGGAACCGAGACAAAAAAGGCTGATTCGGATGAAGCCAAAGGTCTAGAAGCAGAGATACTGCTAGCCAAAGGTGCACGTGTCATGCTTAGTGCAAATCTTTGGACAGCAGCTGGTCTAGTCAATGGTGAAATGGGAACCATAGAAGATTTTTTATCAATGACAATCATGAGAATAATTCACTTCCTACAGCTGTTTTAGTGGTGTTTAACAAATATAATGGACCTACCATTACCACTCCTGAAGGTATTCAGGTCGTTCCAATTGCCCCTATAAAGCGCATATGGGAAGGTAAGTCTAGGATGTGTTCACGTTTACAGGTTCTCCTTTTTCTTGCGTGGGCTATAACTGTACACAAATCCCAAGGTTTGACCTTACCAAAAGCCATGATTGATCTTGGTAAAAATGAGTTTGCGGCAGGCTTATCATTTGTGGCCATCTCCTGGGTTCGTTCTTTTAGCGATATAATTTTTAGACATTTTTCATTTGAGAGACTTCAGTGTATAAAAAAATGTAAAAGACTTCATAAACGAATTCTCGAAGAAGAAAGGTTAGTAGGCCTAGAAAGAAGACTGGAAAGAAATGCCCTATTAGAGCCTTTCACGTTAGCAGGTTTTAATATAGAATAAATACTTATCTTTGTTAATTAATACATAATAAAGTTAATTTTATTTTATATCAATTATTATTGTTACATGTTCGACTTTGGGCATAAAAGCGACAAGATCGTAACAGATTTGGTTCTATTTATACCACAAGATCAAGGAGGTTGGAACTAAATACATAGTGCTTTGGGTTTATTCTGTAATCAGTAGAGTTAGAAGTTATCTTGCTACTTTGAAAATAAAGGTAAGCGTAATGAGAGCTAATAAAACTACTCACTTTAATTTTTGTAAATGTATAACTCAAAGAGAAGCAGATCACAATTAAAGATAGAAAAAGCCATTTGATAAGTAAAAAAATCTATTACATAATTCTTATAAAA